CTTACGTTCTATTTCCTGCTAAGTCCCCTGGCAATTCAGCTATGCGCACATTCTTATTTTGTTGGTTCTCAGACTTGAATGCTTTGGCCTTCCGCTTCCCAGTGCTTATTGTGCTTGTCGCCGAGCCCGGAATGCCCTCTCCCACTCCCGGAGACTCGTCATTATTTTCTGATCATCCAGAATGGTTTCCCAATCGCCTTTCTATTTCTTGCCTTAAAAGGATAATGAAGCTGAGGCCCGAGATAACCCCTCCAATGCAGGCTTTGAAGGCAGCGATTTGGTGGCAGAACAGCAAGTTTTCAGGGAGCAGGAGACATGTGTGGACTCTGACTTTCCCTGGTGCCCAGCACCTAATTGTATTCCTTAAATAGTGGTTCCCTCTCTCCTCCTTTTCTCCCTCCCTCCTTTCTCTTGTACTTTACACTGTGAAATCTATGAGTTGCAGTTTAAGTCTTACACTATTCTGGAGAGGAGAGAAACTTGGTAAGAAAATAAAATGTTGGAAAAATTTAAAGAAAACACCCCTGGAACGACATCCCCCACCCCACCAACGGAGGGGGGGTCCTAGATTGAACTGTAATTCCTTGGTCGATGTGATCCTTTGTGGTGTTCGTGAGGATTTTAGGACATCATGAGATTAATAATAGAAACCTTTTTTTCACTGTCTTCTACTTGGCCGGAACCTGTTTATTTTGTATGACTAATTCACATCCATAAGAAAACGATTACTCAGCTGGCATTCCCACCTGTGTTTATCTTTCAGCAGCCAGGATTTGTTAAACCCTGGGCAATTTTAATTGCTGTGAAGTGTCTTCCCTGCAGGTGCGTTTCCCTCGCTTCTTTCTCTCTTTGACATTTCCAAATGAAAATAGTCTTTCTGTGTAGAAGAGCGTGTTCCTTGGATCTGGTATGTCTGTCTGCCTCCTGCCCTGAACACACATTTAACTGACCCATCACTGCGTGCTGCTGAGTCAGAAGGCAGAGCAGCGCTCCGTTGAACACCATCAACAGTTTTTGTCCGGAGGGCGACTCATAGTTGTCGACAGCCTTTTGTGTGCCTGGCACCCGATGGACCTGTTCTCCTTTCGTCATTACAGTTTTACGAAGTTGGCACTGATAACTCCATCTTACTGGGTAAAGATGTAGAGAATCGTGTTCAAAAAGCATGGCTGAGTTCACAATGTTAACAGTGGAGCTGAATTTGGACCAGGTGCATTTGATCTACAGCCTTGGTGCTCTCCGGGGAGCAAAGATTATTCAGAGAGGCCATCCGTCCCTGGTGTTTAGGCATGTAGGTTTTGGAACCAATTTAAACTGGGTTTGAATCTTGGCTCCATGATAAACTCTGAGATTTGGGTAAGTTGCTTAACCTGTCTTGGGGAAATGAAGTTTCCTCACCTGTGAAATGGAGATGTCTTAGTCTGTTCAGGCTGCTATAAGAAAAATACCGTAGACTGGGTGGCTTATAAACAACAGAAATTTATTGCTCACAGTTCTGGAGGCTGCGTCGTCCAAGATCAAGGTGCCACTCGATTTGGTGTCTGGCAAGGGCCTGCTGTCTGGTTCATAAACGGAGTTCTCTTGCAGGGCCCTCACTTGGTGGAAGGGGCAAACAAGCTCCCTCAGGCACTAATCGCATTGATGAGGGCTGTGCCTCCCAGATGCCCTACCTCCTAATACCACAGTGGGGATTAGGTTCCAACATGTACATTCTGGGAGAACACTCAGATCATAGCAGGAGGTGACCCTTACCTCATAGGGTTACTGAGCCATTCACATAGAGCATTTAGCAGTGCCTTGCCAGGCTCAGAGTGAAATAGGATAGCTGCTCTCAGCTCATGACAGCGTTTATGTAAATGAACTGACTTCCTAGGTCAGAGAGCCAGGCCGAGGGGCTGGATGACAGGAGGGTAGTAGAAGTGGTGGGAAGTGGATTGGGAGGAAGCCTGAAGAAACTAGGAGTGGGCCTGGGGTGCACCTGCTCCCCTTCTAGTAGGAGTCCTTCCTGCAAGTGGACGGAGGGCAGCATATTGTGTATTTTTTTCTTTTTCTTTCTTTCTTTTCTTTTCTTTTCTCTTTTTTTGGAGATGGCGTCTCCCTCTGTCACCCAGGCTGGAGTACAGTGGCTCAGTCTTGGTTCACTACAACCTCTGCCTCCTGGGTTCAAGCGATTCTCACGCCTCAGTTCCCCGAGTAGCTGGGACTACAGTTGTGCGCCACCCCATTCAGCTAATTTTTTGTATTTTTAGTGAAACGGGATCTCCCCATGTTGCCTAGGCTGGTCTCGAACTCCTGAACACAGGTAATCCACCCACCTTGGCCTCCTAAAGTGCTAGGATTACAGGCGTGAGCCACTCCCAGCCTATATTGTATATTTTAAATTTGAGAAGATGAGATTTGAGGAGAAGTGTATGGCTGATGGGTGGGTACAAAATAGAAAGCCTAGCCCAGGAAAACAATGATGGGAGTGAAGCCGAAGATGCTCAGGAAAAGGGAGTGTGGGCGGCAGGAGGGGGATGGATGAGGAGCATTTTCTGGGTACAGTCATGTGAGAATAGGTGGGTTGAATTCAGGGGGTCCAAGAGAATCGGGAAAGAGGCCTGATGCAACAAACACGGGCCTGGAAAGCGCTGCCTCAGAGCAGGCCACCCACCAACCCTGAAAGGCGGCTGCATGTTCGTCAGGGGCACCGTCCACAGGATCGACACATTTGTTGCCAGAGATTAAGAGAGAAGTTTAAATACTTGAATTTTGGCTGAGATGGCTTTTCCTTCTTTTCCTTAACCAAGGACTTAGACTCCTGAAATGTTGGGGAAAAGGTTGACAGGGAAAACGTCTACCCTCTTCCTGCTGCTTCTCATCTCTATATTTTTCTCTTTTGCGGTGGAGGTGGGCAGTAAATAAAAGGCATTTCATTTCAGGGGTAACCTGGGCAGGTTGTGGAAAATGTAGTCAGATTGCAAAATCATCCTATGTTTTCATAAAGTAAGCCCTGTAATATCCAGTCCTTTATTTATTTTTTTATTTAGAGAGAGGGTTTCACTCTGTCACCCAGGGTGGAGTGAAGGGGCATGATCACAGCTCACTGCAACCTCGACCTCCTGGACTCATGCCATCTTCCCAGCTCAGCCTCCCAAGTAGCTGGGACTACAGGTGTGCACCACCATGCCTGGCTAATTTTTGTATTTTTTGTAGAGACAGAGTCTTGCTGTGTTGCCCAGGCTGGCCTCAAACTCCCGGACTCAAGTGATCCTCCCGCTTTGGCCTCCCCAAATATTGGAATTACAGGCATGAGCCACTGTGCCTGGCCTGTAATAGTCATTTCTAAGTAATTCTAATCATAACAAAGGGCGCCTTGATTAAACAAATATTTTATTAAGTCATCTCCATGAGTCAGACAGACAGGTTGCTGGTTGATTCTGCAGTAATTGGTAAAATTCATCAGTAATTCTCTTCAAGAGTCACTCCGGCTCTGTTCATTCATTTTATTTTGGGAGGGGGTCCTCATGAAATTAGTTACTGTATAGGCCTCAACCTAGGCATTCTTTCATTGTTGCTGTGGAAACCAGCAATAAAAATCGTAGGTTGAAGAAGAAAAATAACTGGTGCCGAACATCTGTAAAATACACAAGAATTAAATTGCTTTTCGTAATCCAGAATTTTAAAAAATCATGATACTTGGAACAAAGCTGAGACTCATAAGGTTCTGAACTAATTATGTAACTGAATCATTAGTAGTTTTCCTTGGAAACACTATGGAAAACAAATTACACCGCCTTTAAAGGAGTGTTTCCACCGGTAGCAGCATTCACAGAGCTGCTGCCGTCAGCGCGGCAGTATGAGCTCGGTCAGGTGCATGCCTGGACACACGCCACCAGCTGGTCACTGTTTCAATAGGGTTGGGAACTAGATGGCCTCGCAGAGAGACATTGTCAGGAGAAACGATGTCGCAGGCTGAGCAGGATGCTGCCTGTGGTTCTTCTCGTGGCTGGCTAACGGGTCGTGAGGGGAGAGGCAGCCAGGGATGCTAGCACTGGCCGCCATCCCCCGGGGGCAGTTAATGAGACCCCGCCTCCTACCCTGTGCCCTGTGAGAGTGGCCATTGGAAGTGGTTGTCACTTGTGGGTGTTTTGTAAAGTGCATTTCTGATGTTCTTTGGTGCCCTGTGTCACACCCTGAGTCCATGGGGACAGGCAGAGTCAGGGTTGGGGCTGGAAGAGAGCCGAGAGGGTGTTTAATCCAGTCCTGTTATGTTATTGACGGAAGAAGCAGAGGCTCTGAGAGGGTGAGGGATGGGCCGGGCCTCTCCTTGCTGAGGAATCACAGCGCCGGTCTCTGCTGGCCAGTCTCGGGCCGTCTTCCACATCTCTGTGTGGATTTTCCCCTGATGTCTTCAGCTGCATCTTGCTGGTTTGAACAATTTTCCTTTCATAAAATATTGCAGTTAGGGCAGTCACTCTGCCCTACAGGGTTGGGTCTGACCAATTAAAATGTGCTTCATTCATTTTTATATGAAACTCATTTTTATCCAAAAGAAGAAAAAAGTCATTTTGTTCTTCTGTGAATTCTTTCAAGTAATTCATTTATGTTTATTTTAAAAATAAGTAAATTGTTCCTTTGTCAACCCTAAAGCCACAAAGCTTATGGGCTTTTTATATGTTGACTCTGGCTGACCTGTTTTATCTGGGTATGAGATACAGACACAGTGTATGGGTATTTGGTGGAATGCTGTGTCAGGTCATTCTGCTGAAAAGTGATGTCAGGACATCAGTAATGTGGCTAAGTTTCAGTAGTTTGGTAAAAGCTGTTGTGGAGTTGTAAAATTTAGCCTAGTATAAAGCCTATAAACCCATCTTAGGAATATTCTATTTCCAGCCAAATCATAGGCGCTCCTACTCTATGATAGTCCGCGGTGACGTGGTGTGTGGGGTAAAGTGTGATGATGTCATGAAGCAGGTTCAAGTGATGGAGACATGCTTTGCTTTTCTGCTGTTTTGCAGGACAGATCTGCGAAGACAAACATGCGGAGTGCAGCCAAGCCCTGGAGCCCAGCCATCAGAGCAGGAGGCCACGGCCCAGACCGGGCACGGCCTCTGCCTGCAACCCCTTCCGGCATGAAGAGTTCTAAGTCTTCAACTTCCTTGGCTTTTGAGTCCCGACTCAGCAGGGTATGGACCAAAATGCACGGGGCCGGGCAGGGCGCCTGGATACCCTGGATTGGGAGGATTGAAGAGGGCAGTAGGCAGACCAGTGGCCTCTGGGGGCAGGGAAGGAGGTTCCCAAGGAGGGGTCACGGGAGGACCAGCATGCCTGAACGTGAAGGAGTGGAGCTAGCGCGTGGGAGTGGGGCCCTCTGGGGTCCAGAAAGGAGGTCTGCAAAATGTTTAACACAGTAATTAAGGTCCTCTGCCCTGGGTTGCATGGACATCCCGGCAGTTTTGCCCCCAGCACCACCCTGGATGGGGGTCGAGGTCATGCACGATCTTTGCAGCCCCCCACAATCCAGTTGTGGTTCTTCAAGCCCCTCTTGCTGGACCCCGCAGCAGCATGGACACTGTTGATTACGCCCTTCATCAGGGAGTGCGTTCTCCTCTGGTTTTCTCCTCCCTCCATCCCTTTGGTCTCTAAGGTTGGGTGGGCCCATGACACATTCCTGGATTCATCTCTTTTCTAGCTACATTCATTTCTTTACATGAGAGGCTCTCACTGTGCAACGCTTAGCGCCTCCGTAGCTGCCCTGAGATGAATTCATAGACAGGAGCACCTACCTCGTGCAATGCTTTAGAAAAATCATTACGATCTTCTAATTCAAAAGGGAGGTATTAAATAGCATGCATTTCCGTCTGCAATGCCTGAGCACAGCTGTGCTGAAGGCCTTGCGATGATCCTTAAAGCACCATGGGCATGACAGCTACAATGCAGATGGCTTTGAGATGCAGACTGATTTGAGTCGTGTTGATGACTCAGCTACGGTGAAGGCTGCTGCAGGAGTGACGGGATTGTTTTGAAATAGCAGACACTCTTGGTGAAGTTCTGAACCAAACATCATGCCAGCTCCCTTTGTTTCATGTATTCTTGGAAAGTTCAGGGTACCTTAGAGCTAGGCAAGGGGCACATTGTTTTTATGAGTCAAATGGAGGGAGGCTCTAGGCTCAGATAATAATAAAAGGTGTTCCACCTGCGTCAGTGCCTGTGGATTCAGTGAAACGTGTGTGGGTCGTGGAGCTGTTCTTTGTGTAAGATTGTCATGAGCATTTTAGGACTAACACATCCAGTCATGGTGACAATCAAAAATGTGCCCTCAGATTTTCAACACATCCCCTGAGGGACAGCACTGTCCCCATCGAGAACCATTGTTCCAGGTGACAGGGTCCATTCTCATGGCTTTTAACACTCTACATGGATAACGTCCAAATTTGCATCTCTAGCTGGGACACCTCTAACTGCCTTTGTAACATCACCCTTGGATGTCCAGACACTCCCTCCAGTGTAACATATCCAAAACTGAATCTCAGTGCTTTCCTCTCCATCTCTCTCGCCACCCGCTAACCTGCTCCCCCTCAATCTTCCCGTTTGTGTAAATAGCAACTCTGTCTTTTCAGTTGCCCAGGCCACAGCCAGTGGCATCACCCTTAAACCCTCCTTTTCTCACGTCTCACAGTCCATCAGTGAAAGGCCATCACTTCTACCTTAAAAATACGTGTCAACTCCAGCCAATTCCCACCGCCTCCCTTGTGACTAGTTGGGTCATGCCCCTACCCTTCTATGCCCTGGTCCTGGTCCTTGGAACACCTGAGTCATGTCACTTCTCTGCTTCAACCGTCTAGTGACTCTCCCCATTCACTCAGAGTGAAAAGCAAAGTCCTTGAAATGGCCAGCGTCCCCTCCCTCTCAGATGTGGTCTCGCTCCTCTGTGCCCTGGCTCCTGGAGCTCCAGCCACACAGTCTGCTGGTGTCTGGGGACAGCTGTCCCTCGGATTGCCAGGCACACTCCTGCGCTAGTGCGTTTGTGTTTTCTTCTCCCTCTGCCTGGAAAGCACCTGGTGCCTCTGTAGGAAGTGCCCTTGACCTCCATCCTCCTCCTCCTGCTGCCTTGTTTTCCTTCTCAGCTCTTGGTGCCATTGCACCCATCTGCTTGTTTAGGGTCTGTCTTCTCATGGCTGGAAAGTAAGCCTCCTTGGGGAAGGGACTGTAGCTTTCCTTGTTGTCCTCATTTCTGTCCCCAGTGCTTAGAAGAGCATCTGCTACCTGGTAGGCGCTCAGTATTTATTGAATGATGAACACACCTGTTTTCTGGCAGTCTGATGGAACAGGAGGAGCTTGGGGGTGTGGGGCTGGCCTGAGCTGGAATCCTGGCTCTGCCACTTCCCCGCCGTGAAGCTGCAGGCAAGCTGTGTAGCTGCCCTGAGCTTGTGCTTCCTTGTCTTTCAGATGAAGGTAACACCTTCTTTGCCACAAGGAGTAAATGTGGGTAAAGCGTGCTGTGTGTAATTTTGTTTATTATTCTATTATCCTGGATTCAACCATCATTTCCATTAGTTTTGTTTTTATTATCTTCAACCCAACAGCACATTTTAAACTTAGATTTTTATGTTTATTACTATTTTTTCTATATCCAATAAGCAATATATAAACTTAGATTTTTAAATGAATACATACATTCCACAATAACAGACCATTACAGCTGCTGGAATATGGAATTTTTTTTTTTTTGAGACAGAGTCTCACTCTGTCGCCCAGGCTGGAGTGCAGTGGCACGATCTTGGCTCACTGCAAGTTCCGCCTCCCCGGGTTCACGCCATTCTCCTGCCTCGCCTCCCCAGTTAGCTGGTCGTACGAGGCACCACCACTCACGCCCAGCTAATTTTTTGTTATTTTCTGGTCAGAGATGGGGGTTTCACCGGTTAGCTAGGAATGGTCATACGGAATTCTCCTGAACCTCATGATCGGCGCCTTTGGCCTTCCAAGTGCTGGGATTTTACAGGCGTGAGCCACCACGGCCTAGGCCGGAAATATTTTTAAAAGCAGTGCTTAAAATAAGGCCTCGGCTGGGCAGGGGATGGCTTCATGCCACTTTGGGCAGGCCTGAGGTGGGGCGGCATCACCTGAGTCAGGGATTCAAGACCAGCCTGAACCAACATGGTGAAAATCCTATCTCTACTAAAAAAACAAACAAAAAAATTAGCCTTAGCCGGGCATGGGTGGCTGATATACCCTGTAGTCCCAGCTACTTGGGAATCTGAGACAGGAGGATCGCTTGAATCCAGGAGGCAGGAGGTTGCAGTGAGGCCAAGATCGCATCACTGCACTCCAGCCTGGGTGACAGAGTGAGACTCCTATCTCAAAAAAAAAAAAAAAAAAAAAAAAAAAAAAAATATTATATATTATATATATATAAATGTATATTAAAGGCTGGAAGCGTAGGAGATGTGGTGTTTTTTTTTTTTTTAATTTAAAAATACTTTTACTGCTAAAAAATGTAAGGATCATTTGAGCTTTCAGGAGTTGTAATCTTTTCCCTAGTAGAGGGTCTTGCCTTGATGGTGAGAGGCCACTGATTCATCAGCGTGGGTGGTGTTGGAAGGTTGGGGTGGCTGTGGAAATTTTCTTAAAAATATGACAACAGTGAAGTTGGCTGCATCAACTGACTCTTCCTTTCACAAAAGATTTCTCTGTATCATGTGATGCTGTTGGATAATATTTCACCCACAGTAGAACTTGTTTCAAAATTGGAGTCAAAACAGGTCTGTAATCCCAGCACTTTAAGAGGCCAAGGCAGGGTGGAACACCTGAGGCCGGAGTTAAGACCAGCCTGGCCAACATGATGAAACCCCCATCTCCACCAAAAATACAAAAATCAGCCAGGCATGGTAGCATGTGCCTGCAAGCCCAGCCACTCGGGAGGCTGAGGCAGGAGAACCGCCTGAACCATGAGGCAGAGGTTGCAGTGGGCCGAGACTTGCACCACTGCATTCCAGCCGTTCCTGGTGACAGAGCGAGACTGTCTCAAAAAAAAAAAAAAAAAAAAAAAAGGGAGTCAATCCCTCTCGAACTGTGGCCTCCTAATTTAATAAATTTATGTGGTATTTTAAATCCTTTGTTATTTTAACAATGGTCAACATCTTCACCAGGACTAGACTCCATCTCTAGAAACCACCTTCTTTGCTCGTCCACAAGAAGCAGTTCCTCATCCGTTCAAGTTTTATGAGATTGCAGCAATTCAGTCAAGCGTAGGAGTGTTTCTAAAGGACAATGAATGAGATTCTGGCCACTTCTCCCATCAATAGGTTCATGTTTTGGAAACTTGTTCCACAGGGAAAATGTCAGGGAAAAGCAAATACAGTCATTCCTTGGTATCTTTGGGGGATTGGTTCCAGGACCCACTGTGGATACCAAAATCCATGGATGCTCAAGTCCCTGATATAAAGGGTATTTGCATATAACCTACACTCATCCTCCCATATACTTTAAGTCATTTCTAGATTATTTATGATACCTCATGCAATGTAACTGCCACGTACACAGTTGTTATACTGTACCATTTTAAATTTTTTTATTGTTGTATTATTAATTTTTAAAATTAATGTTTTGAAAAACTTTTTCTGCACTTGGTACCATGCGCATATTAGGCGCCTTCTGCTCTCCTTCCCGATTCCTGTCCTCTCCAGGCCTGATTCTGTGCAGGACAATGATAGGGCTTGAGGGAAGGAGCAGCAGAAAGAAATGTAGCCCGCCTGGCCTTTCCAGCCCTGGTTCTGTTCATCTGATTTAACCTTCATCTTTCCACCTATGGTATGGGAAGAAGAAAAAGACTAAACAGGAAGTCAGAGAACAGAAGTGAAAAAGAGGAAATTGTGGTGGACAAAAAAGCAAGTAATTTTCCCTCCCAATATTTTACTATGACAATTTGTAAGCACACGGGGAGGTTCTGCAGTAGTACAGGGGATCCTACAGCAGACACCATAGACCACCACCTAGGTCCTATGGTTAGCATCTCACTATATTTGCTTTATAGTAAATGGATAGATAGGGTTTCACTGGTCAAAACAGGAACCCTGAGACAAATCCACCCAAAGTGGAACTAAATACCTGACTTTCTTTTTTAAAATTTGAATTTGAATTTTTTTAAAATTTTACTTTAAGTTCTGGGATACATGTGCAGAATATG